GAGTGGTTTGCCCCTCGGTTTTGTGATTTTCGTGGGACGAATTTGAAGATCCCCCGAAGAATTACATAAAATCAGTTTGCATAAAGTATTATGGGCTGAAAACAAATCGATTCACTACCAACAAAATGACGACGTTGCCAGATCTTCTCGTGGAGAGATAGAGAGAGATTTATCGTGGTTGAATAATCGATGAACGGAAAAAGCATGGAATATCTAATTGACGGATGTATTGACGATTTGGTTACTTTTTTATTAGATAGCAAAATGTTTGTTAAATTACATTTTTAGTTGAACAAGCGGATGTATGTTCGAATCTACAAAAAACGTTCAACGAAATGTTATCTTATCAGAATTATTTTTCGTTTATCTTTTCGCGCTGACGAAACGATCTTTATCATTCGATGGTTTTCGTTCTATTTTAACGCTTCAATGCTTTATAAACGTTGAAAATTTGTTCAGCGAATGCTTCGAAATGGGTGTACGATGAAGGTGCTAGGTTTTATTTTAATCAAAATGAATCTAGTAATGAATGTTGTCAAAAATATTGTAGTAACACACAAAAAACGGTGTGTGAAAAACGCCGTAGCTTGTTTATGCAATAACAATGAGTGATGTAAACACATGCCGTTCTCATACAATGTGGGTATTGTCATAATTTCATTTAATTTCAGTTCCTTCGGTTTCAGTCATATACTCATAAAATTACACAGAATCGTTGAACATTCACGTGGCCACATTTGCCTGTGAGTCGATTGAAGAAGTGTTGAACGTTGATCCATCGAGAATTGAATGTGAAATGGAAGAAATGAAATTTGTTTACCTTAACCAGTTCTTCCTACGCAATGAAATGCTCGATAAACTACGTAAACGACGACTACGACGATGAAAATTCGAATGAATAGAAGTGAGTAACATAACTATCGAGAGAAATGTCACTGTTAGTGCAAATGATCGTTTATGTTGTTCATTGGAAGTAGAAGAAAGAGAGAAGAAATGCACCAATACTAATAAAAAGCGGCTGATGAAATTATCTAATCATTGAAATAATCAAACTTATCAACTGATTCGATAAATTGTTTCCTTTATTTGCTCCCCTTCATGTTCTGAATCATTAAAGATACATATGTACATTTTCAATGGATACGCGTAAAATTCTACTTATTCAATCATTTGTTAAAGTCATTTAAATTATTGTGATTGTGTGTTCAATCTTTAAGGTCAATAAAAATACTAGCGAGGGTCTATGAAATCTACAATCGAGCGTATCGAATTATTTATATAGTGAATGCATAGAGCGCACACTGAACATTCAATTGCACTTCAACATGCAGCCTAAGACGTGAGCGTAAATCGATTCAATAGAATTGGAATTCTTTTGTATCAAGAGACGAAGCGTATGGTATTCAAATCACAATAAAGGATCAGAAAGAGACAACAATACCACGGGAATTTGAATACTTTCAAATATTGTTATTTACAATATGGTTATGCAATAATAAAACAATGTAGTAATAATTACGTGACACCTGTATATTGACCACATTGTATTTTATTTCACTAAGACTTCTTTATCGTCGCCTCTGTTTCACATAACTCTTTCGAAGTGCGAATGATGTTGACAGATCGGTTAAACAATTAATTCTATCAATTCAAACGGGTTTTCAGTGAATTTTAGATGCTTTCAAAGGTTTTTTTTTTCGATTAAACCGCCATTCATTTAAATCCAAACGAATATCAGTAGCACCAACGCACATTTCGATTCGCTCAAACAATCTGATCGCTTGGAAAATCAACTTTTAATCTTAATGGAATATGGAGACATGTGTTTTAAGTAGTGTTGTGAAAGATTGAAACATCTATCAAAATTGACGTTGGAACAAATGCTAAGGTGAAAATAACAATTTGTCAGTTTTCAATTTCACGAAAGCCGAAAGGCTTAACCCAAAGCGACATTCTGCCAACCAAATGTGTCGCTGAGCATAAAAATGGGAATACAGATCTGTTACAGCAACATGAGCTAATACTGCTTCTAATGCAACTCATGTTACACTCGCGTTAGATGGAAATTCATGTAACGTTTTTAGGGAACAATATTTTATGTTCGGTTGTTGCTGTAACAGATCTGTATTCCCATTTTTATGCTCAGCGACACAAATGTAGAATGGAAAGAAAACTCATAGCTAAATCTCATAACTCATGATAAGGCATATGAGAATACGTTTCTGGTATTTTAGATGAAATTCAGGGAAAAAAATTAATCATCATAGAAAAAACTACAACCTTCTAGCAGGGGTAATATGAAAAACTAGTGCCATCTATTCCGACAACGAACCTGTCAGCCTACATGTTTTAGTTACATTTGAAACTTCAAAATGTGGCACTAGCCACGTCCTTGCTGCAAATGCAACATATCCACAAGCAACATCTTTTCGCATCGATTGTAATTCGTTGAAAAACACATTGTTTAACAGCATTACTATCGCTGCGACGAGATATCGCAAGTGATATTTGCTCTTTCAAAAACGGCGTGATACCAGCTTTGTTTGGAGCATTCCCGTGTGGAAATAAAATGACTAACAGTCACTCAGTTGTATGTGGCTTGTAGCTGTTTTGTAGTGGTACATGACTCACACTGGCTAAGTTAATCGAACTATGTGTAACTATGTAATCTTCTAACGGGTTTTTGTTATTCATATCAAATGTACTGATGTTAAATTCTTTGAAACGTGACCTTTGATCATATTCTATATAAAAAAAAATTGAATCACCCGAAACGAAGTGAATTTCACTGTTTAAAAGAAGAAAACCACTGTCAAGTAATTGAGTAAAGGCCATATTCGAGTTAAATGCACGTTTATTCAAATCACCATTTCGATTTATATTTTTTTCTTGCCAAAAGCAACAACAATTCGTTTCGTGACGTTCGGATTTTCTTAAATTGAACTAATTTTTCGTTTTGAAAACTGAATCGATAAATAATTCAGTTTAACGTTCAAGTTTATTGGAATGAAGTATGTATGGAATCCATACTATGGATGTATGCCGTCTATATGTATTGATATTGTTATATGTAGACAGAGACTTGAATATTCAATTAAATTGGTGCTCATTGATACGAAGATGGGTTTTTTATTAAAGAAGAGAGAAAGAAACAGAGAAAAGTTAAAAAAAATGAAAGAATGCCATGAAAAATGTATTTTTCTGAATGTTTTAGCTGTTAATCTTGGGAGCCTACACACATGATAGATGGAGGAACATTCACCGATCAATGTGTTCATCTCGCTTTTCGAGTGAGAGACAAACGCACATACACTCGATTACTCATCACCCGGTACTTCAATTAATATGCGCCTCTGAAAATAATACAAAAATTTGTTTGTACACACTCGAAACAGTTTGAGGAATATTATAAAATTCATGAGTGGATCGATGCAATTCAAGAGCGTGTGCTGTATTACATCAATGCGTTTTAATTGAATGGAGTGCTGCTCACAGTCGCTCATTTAAATGTATTTACATGCACAATACCATCGCTTTATGGCATATTAATCGTCAATAGATACTATTTAATGGTTCAAATGGTCGTGCGCAATATGTACGGATGAACGATATGCGATCGAAGGAGGAAAAAGCGTGTGCGAGGGAAAAGTGTAGATGGTGAAATGCAACAGCTATCGCGCGCCATTACATTACAATCATCAACACAAACACCGGAAATGCTTTTTTCATTATTATTTAAGTTTGAAACAAAAAAGTTAACCATCACAAATGTAATGAATTGCTCTTTTTATTTATGAAAAAAAAAACCCATTAAAGTTGATCGTTTTGGTTGCCTGCTTTTATCCAACAAATTTAATTGGGAAATAACTCCTCGAAACCGGCGATTTGGTGAAGTTGTTCGAAAAAAAATAAATCAAGTGGAACAAAACTCGTAGAAAATATTGACGGTTTGAACATTACGACGGGAGTAAGAGATATTACAGAAAAGCCATAGACAGAAAAGAACACACAGCGATAACCGCAATGAATTGCATTTGTTTTTTTAATTAACGGGTTAGTGTAGTACGTTTACCGCGAGCCAAAATGAGCTCTTTTACAATAGTAGTGTGGGCGCTTTGCCGAACGAACGTAGAACAATGAAAAATATGCAAAATCATTCACATCGATTTCTGAAGAAAATTTATATCCAGTGCTCTGAATGTTTACCATGGTCGGAAAGAGTGCAAACATCGTTGCTTGTCATTGATACGAAAAGGATATTCGATACCATCTGATCGATATGTCTGCATTTATGCTTAGCTGTAAAATGTTTTTCTATTCATTTCATTCGTCTACCTTATGGGCGGCTGTAGAGAGGAAAACAACACTGTACCAAGTTAACGTTTATGCATAGGCAGTATAATCAAAAGGAACGTGTTTTGTTTACAGGATATGGTATATACTTTTTTCCTTCAATCACAACACCTTCGAACTAATGAACCAAAAGAAACGATAAAAAACCGTATATTATAATTCTCCACAATAACTAGCCCAACCTTAGTTTCGTTAAGACCTGTCGCATGAATCTGAGCCGGAGCGTGCATGTGCATGTCTGTTTGTGTGTTGTCTATTAACACAGAGACAAGCATAAAGCAAACGATGCATGGTTTAGCCTTATTTTTCAACCATGATAACAATCTCTGATTTATGGTTATGCCTAATTCAATGACGTAGGATGTTAGAGGTGATTGAGCGTGCGATGCGCACAAACAACACCAGAACACGACATTTTCATATTTCATGTTATTTTTTTACTCAAATTACCGAGAATCAGTCACTCAAATGCGTGGTTGTATTTCACATTTGGTGGCAAACCAATCCATGCAAAGGCTCACATTGCAATCGCGTGGATAGGTCAACAAAGTTTTGCTACTGAATTTCACGAATAATAATATCGTTGTGATATGATTTTTGCACAAATTAATATGAAATTAAATGTATTCTTTCGCATCTTTTATCAGGATACTAGTTGGAGCTCCACTTGGAAAAAATCTACAACCAAAGACGAATCGATCGGGCGCACTGTTCAAATGTCCAATTACACAAAACCCAAATGATTGCTCACAAGTTATTACGGACGGTCGACGATGTAAGTCATTCAAGATGATTGAAACAAACTTTTTTCGAGCGTTCATGACGATGAAACAATTATGATGATGAACAAAATTTTTTTTTTTTCCAGTAGACAGTTGAAATGACACAGAAATCATTTTTGACTTTTCCATCTCAGTTGAGATTAGATCAGTTACGTAAATTTAAGCGGGTTACGGGTTAATTTGACCATTGCTTAATATGTACTGTATAAACTAGCGTATATTGCATAGTATATTTTTACATAAAGTTCTTCATATACAGTAACATTTGCGAACTCTCCAATCGCTAAAATGAACAATTTGTTGCGATACTTTATTTAGATCGTGTACATATGTTTTTCTACATTTTTAAGATTGTTTGAATTATTGAATATCAAATGACTAAACTCTAAAGACTGTTGTAAATACAATTTCAAACCTAAATTGAACAATGAAGTCCTTTAGTTCGGTAGATGCAATTGTTTGAATTTTATTTATTTAAATTGATCGAATATATCATCTTACGCTACAATGGAAGACAAATCATCAGGGGAAAATTGAAAATTCAAACCATTTTCAGGTTTCATATTTAGATCAAACGCTCGCTATACACTTTTTTGCTGTACCTTTTTTATATCATTCATTCAAAATTTAAACATTAAATCAATTTAATAATTTTCTATCCATTCTTCTTTTTTGGGGCGGTAAATTCCACTTTTATGAAACATAAATCGCAAAAAAAACCTCTTCGAATATGTAATAATAAAAACGAAATTCCTCATGCGTGAATACGACACAAATTATAGTATCTGGCGGAGCTTATGAACCCAGGCAGGCTAAGAACAGTAAAAAAATCTCATATTTTTCCTTTCTACTTTAACACCTAACATTCTTTGTTGATTAACTCACTAAATTGCATGTCGTTTTTTTCTTCTAACTTCTAGTATTTTAGATCCGATTTTACGTTATGCAATCATTTTTGCAGTTTTTATCAAATTAACGCAAACAACTCCATTCTAACTCACTAGCAATTTAATAGCATGAATACAATATACTTGTAAAATGCATGATTTTACCGGTGTTTGACATCCCTATTTTGTTTTTTTGTATGTTCCTCCTGTATTTTGTATGTTCCTCTTGAGGAGGTTGTTTATTATAAATTTCAAATAAAATCACCCATTATCGCTGGTAGCTTGAATCTATTTTTGACATTTTCATACGTATAAACACAGAAATGATCATACTCATTGCGAAAACCAATTGCTTTTTTGACCAGAGATTTTATTAAGCAAAAACGAGCAAACATAACTCTTCATTCTAGGGACTTATATGTTACGCGAGTCAGAACAAATTTCACAAGTCAGTAAAAATAAGACCGAAGAGCTTCGCTTCGCTGCGCTCTGCGTTCTTGAGTTTTTAGTTACTTAATCTATTTTGTTGTTTCACAACAAACTATTTTTTGGCGCACTACATGAAATGTATTTCATCAAAGTAACTTTGAAGTAATATATTTATTTGCAAAATGAATCACAAGATCTTGGTTTTATTTCTTTTTTGAAATAAACCGCCTTTGGTTTAAATTAAATAAATAAATAATTATTTATTATATATTATAATATGAGCATAGAATCTAAAATCACTTTAATTCTGTTCAAGACACAGAAAATATTATACGAAAAATTAATGTAATTTTTGAACAACATTTGATAATAAAAATTTGATTGACGCTTTGAGATATTATGCACTTATTTGTCGTTAGTGCTCCTGTTTAAAATAAATAAAAAATATGGGCATAAAATTCAAATTCACCATAATTCGTTTCATCACTCAAAAAGTATTAAAAAAAATAGCAGATTAGTAGCTCTACATTTCATGTAGTGCTAAAAATATAGGCAGCTGCACGAGTCTTGTGAATCGCGTGTACTGACTCGTAGGTTTGCCAAACAATTTCTGTGCTACGATTCAACGCGACTCGTATTTAGATTGCAATGAGCTTATGCGACTCTACATAGGAATTATACGAGTTTTTTTTGACTCGCGGAGACAAGTCGTCTTCATGAGATGCGCTACTTTTGAACATATATATATTTTTATTTCATTTTTTTCTTTAGTTAAAACACAAAATTGTTAACTGCTTCTTTAAAAATACAACATCGTATCTGCATAAAATATTGTTAATAATTAGTACATGGCTTAAAGGCAATCAACCGAAAACTGTTACACCTCCATCTAGCATGTACGTGTTCATGTCATTAATTGCATGCAGTAATAAGCACGCCCAATAAGAATGAAATTTGGCAAGCAGCGACGACCGCATTTTTTCAGTAGCATTACAGATGGTCTTACATTGATCAAGATAATGTACATTTGTACATCATAAATTGACAGAGAGTTTATTTTCGCCGCTGAGCACTGCTCAGTGAGCAGACCCAAGCTGAACTGAATTTGATTAAAAATTTAAAAAAAATCATTGATAGCTGAGATCCACTTTACCAATTAGAACAATTAATAAAAAACGTGGATCTTTGCGAGCATTGAACATTTTCTACAGTGAATGAGTTAAAATAATGCTTCAGGTGCGTGAGTAAGCAAATTCAGCTCAGCTAAGACCTATTCAACAGCAAATATGCACTCTCTTCAAACTGAAACTTCTTGAATGCTGCATCAAAATAATGAATAAATACATAAATTTGTAGACTCCTAGCCAAAATCTAATGCACGATATACCAGTTGTTTACTCCGAATGATTTTTTTTATCAAAATATTTTTTTCGTAGGTTATTTTTGTGTTGAGTTCATCTCTTTTTTCAGATTGAAATATTTATATGTCTTAATGTTTGAATGAGAAGTGCACTTTATGTGTGTGAGCATGCATATTTATATTCGTCATTTATTTTGATCATTCTATCTCAAGTCAAATCAAACTAACGAATTGAAATCAAAGTTGATTTCGAATCAAATATTCAAGTCATTGAGATGCGGGACAGACATCACTTTTTTGTGCGTGAATATTTGAATAACAAGGAAAAATTATAAAAATTATCTTGAAAATAGCCGAATTTTAATCTCAATGAATTTGAATATTTGATTCATGGCATTCTCAATGTTGACAGCATAGCGTCTGGAATCGAATACGCACATACTTTGTGTGTGTTCATTTTAAGGACGTTGTAATGTTGATTGATTCGCCTTTTCCATTTGCACCACATGTCTCACAATCTCATATCACAAGCATTGCTTTTGACTAAACATTTTCGATCTACAAATTGATAATTCTAATTTCTATATCTTTTTTTCCTAAACTATTCCACATTCAAAATACAGATAGCGATGATGAAGAACTAAGCCCGCCACTTTTTAATCAGGAAATTAAAGATGGCCAATGGATGGGTGTTACAGTACGTTCACAAGGACTTTCGGGAAAGGTAAATAAAAAAAACGAAACCGAAGAAAAAATGCAGTTATTGGGAATTTACAATTTTGGATATAATTTTGTCCATATTATACACACAATAATAATGAACATCTGTATACGATAAGGTATTGGTGTGCGCGCATCGCTACATTGCTAAAACAGGCGAATCACAACATGGTCAAGGACTCTGCTATGTACTTACAAATGATCTCAAATTTGACGATTCCTATGAGCCATGTAAGAACTTGTATAATTTTTATTTTTGGATATGATTGTCTATATTTCACACACGGTAATAATGCGATAAGGTAAGGGACGAAACACTGAACGGGAGCACGAAGAATATGGTTATTGTCAAGTTGGAACTTCGGGAGCCTTATTAGACGATGGAACTATGATTTTAGGAACTCCTGGTCCATATACATGGAGAGGCACAATGTTTGTCATTTCAGTGGGTGGGGAATACTTGAAGAGGGACAAAAATCACTATTACTCTCCACATCTCGATCAAACTTCGCCGGTCGACAAATATAGCTATTTGGGTATGATAAAGATCGCTTTTTTCGAATTATTTTTTTATAAATGGAAAGGTAAGAAAGTGATTTAATTATTGTTTTTTTTTTATTAACAGGAATGGCTGTAACCGGAGGCCAATATTATGGAGATTACCTTTCATATGCGGCTGGCGCTCCGCGATCAAACGACAATGGTCAAGTCGTTATTTTCTCCAAATCGTATCCATTGTCAAATAATATCGACGTCATAATGAAGGTCTCTCAAATATTTGACGGAGAACAATTTGGATCAAGTTTCGGCTACGAAATTATCACAGCCGACATAAATGGTGATGACTTGGATGATCTTATAGTGGCTGCGCCATTTTATTTCAGTAAAATTGACGGTGGTGCTGTTTATGTGTATCAAAATGAAAATCATCGTTTGCCCTCGAATTATACGACAAAATTGACCGGCAAATTGGAGTCTCAGTTTGGACTGGCAATGACAAACATTGGTGATATCAATCAAGATGGTTGCGATGATATTGCAATTGGAGCCCCGTATGAGGGAAGTGGCGTTGTTTACATTTATTTGGGATCAAAAGATGGACTTACAACCAAGCCTTCTCAAGTCATTTCACCATCAGTGCTTGGTTTAACGTCAATCAAAACATTCGGCAGTTCGTTATCAGGAAAAATAGATTTCGACGACAACACTTACCCAGATCTTTTAATCGGAGCATACCAATCAGCTGCAGCGGTTATACTTCTTTCGCGTCCCATTACCAATATTAGAACTTATGTTGATGAATCCGAAATTAAAAATATTGATCCGACTAAACAAGGTTGTGCTAGAGATCAATCCACCAATTTGACGTGTTTTACCATTGAAGCATGTTGCTCAATTTCTCCGTACAGATCCAGCGGTAAAACTCTTCGACTCCTCTACACAATCGAAGCCGAAACGTTTAACAACAAGAAGAAATTTTCGAGAGTATTCTTTGCGCCGGATATGAAAAGCCGAAGCAATATTGTTAAACGTATCATTGATGTTCAAATCAACAATCAAGAACATTGTCAAACAGAAACGATTTACATCAAGGAAAACACACGAGATATTCAAAGCCCGATTCATGTAAGAATGCGAACATTTAAATCTGATTTTTTTAGCAAAAACTATTTGCGGTAGAAACGTTTCCTTATTCAGTTGTTAATGTTACAGTTTCGATTAAACTACACAATTGTTGAATCAACTCCGAGCACACTAAAAGTATTGAATCCTATTTTGGATCAAACTCAAGCGGATCGATCATTTCAAGCAAGTTTCCAAAAAGATTGCGGTAGCGATGATTTGTGCCAGTCTCAGTTGGAAGTGTATGCCGAATTGGAATTGGACAAAGAAGGTAACAACATTTTCGAGAACAAAAAATATATTTAACAAGGCAAGAATACTAATTTTCTGTGAAAAAAAACTCCATTGTAGATGGCGAATATAACTTGATTTTGGGAAAATCTGATGAGCTTCATTTGAATGTAACTGTAACGAATGAGCAGGAGTCTGCCTACGAAGCACAATTGTTCATTGAACATCAAAAAAGTGTTACTTATATAGCAGCGAGCAAAGGTCAAGTCATTTGCAATCGATTCAATGAAACCATTGTGGCATGCACATTGGGCAATCCCTTCCGACGAAATGCCCTAACAAATGTGATACTCCGTTTTGATCCCAGTGCGCTTGATGATTCAGAGCCTCGGCTATCGTTCAAAGTCTTTGCCAATTCAACATCAAAACAACAAATTTCACGTGAAAACACAGTTTTGCTTGTGAATGTGGTGAAGAAAGCTGAGCTCAGTATTCAAGGTTGGCAGCTACCTGAGCAATCATTCTATGGTGGTGATGTTCGTGGTGAAAGTGCAATGGATTATGTTGAAGACATTGGAACAGCAGTTCAACACACCTATCAAATATACAATGATGGCCCGTGGCGTGTGCCGTACCTGAATGTTAAAATCAAGTGGCCGCATCAAGTGGCCAACGATAAAGATAAAGGCAAATGGTTGCTGTATCTCGTAGACAAAATTGTAATCGAAGGCGTTACTGGCGAATGTTCAGCCGACGGAATAAATCCATTGAATCTACCGAAACGTCCAAATCTATTGGATCTTGCTGGCGAGCCAGCCGAATTGATGGATTACAGAAGTTACATCGCAAAAATGAATAAATCACAAGCAGTATTTGCGATGAGTTCTGAGAAACGAGCCCAAAAAAGCAAACAATCAAGTAACACTATTCTGAATCGTGTACGACGCGACCATGCAGTTATCATAAGGGCTGAGCGCTTAGTGGACAAAGACGGGAAGAAACAAAATATTGTTACTATGGTAAATGGAGATATTGGTTTTACCATTTGTTCAGCATTTTACTAATGATATCCATTTTAGGATTGTGAAAAGTATTCTGCTAAATGCATCACACTTAAATGTGCCTTATATAATATGCCCAGCAAGTCTGAAGCCTATGTCCATGTTAAGGCAAGACTTTGGAATTCAACGCTGGTGAACGATTATCCTCGCGTTGATCTTGTTAAAATCGTCTCTTCAGCACATATTTCGATCCCCGAAATCTACAATATCAAACAGAAAAACAAAGATGACAGAACATTGGTATATAAATCAGCGTAATCATTGCTTGATTACTCCTGATCCGTTTCTATTTCAATACATAGTATTCAATCTTTTCTTCGATTTTCAGGTGTCAACCTACGCATATCCTGACTTACATGAACAACCAGGCGATGGATCCATCCCAATCTGGATCATAATTGTATCAATAGTAGGTGGATTATTACTCCTAGCACTATTTACCTATTGCTTGTGGCGACTTGGCTTCTTTAAACGACGAAGGCCCGATCCAACACTCAGCGGAAACTTGGAGAAGAATAGCGAAAGCAAATTGCTTTTAAATCGAAACCGATGAACAATTCAACGAATATAAGAACATCCGATTTAGACATTTAATTCGTGCGTTCAACGTCAGTAGCTTTACTTACGTCATAATTCAAAGAAAACAATGGAGGGAATTATATTTGTGATATATGTGAATTTAGAAAATGAAAACACTTAGCTGTACTTTCTATTGCAAATCTTCTAGTTTCCGTATTCTGTATAGTTGTAATAGTTCAATGGAATCGATTCATTTTATACACTTAATAGATTTGTATTACAAGTGCCTGTGCCTATTATTTTTTAAGTTCAGTTAAGTTATACTCGAATAAGGTATCATCCCTATACGCCGAAAATACACTGCAATATATATTCACGCCTAATGAATGCATATTCTAATGTATTTTTGGCGTATAGAGAGCGTATATAAACATATTCGCCGTTTCTCTTGGGATTTATATATTTTAGGAGTAGCATCCCGAATTTGCTCGTGTAACCCGGATGATGTTCAATTTTACAAAAAAAAGGCTTAGCCTTTTCGACTGATGCAAATGCAGAAATTGTGTTTCAAATCCAACATTTGATGTATTCAATAACATTTGGATTTCTCAAAGAGTGTCTCTAAAAACAATAATTGCATATGACGAATCAGAATCATCGAAACAAAAAGAAATATTCGTTTCGAGAAGATGAATATATACGACTTTGATATCAAAAACGATACGAATAAAATATATTTCCGAAAAATGTGATAAATACACACCGTGGAAAAACGAGATATAGAAATGGCATCGATTTGCTCTCGATTAGGGCACTGTTTCCATTGCAATCGTGCACAATTGTGAATCGGTGGACGATTTTTCCTATCGTGTACGATTGTTTTATATGGAGAAAATTGTCCACGATCGTATGTTTGCTATTTCCAAGGCCACGATCTATGCACGATTTCGAAAAGATTGTACACGATTGCAATCGTGCGCCTTGGATTTCCAGGGGCCTGTTGCACCGTACAGCTACAATAATTGTAAACTTGTAAATTGTAAAATTGATTTACAATTTTACAGGTGCCTGTAAATCTGATTTACAAGTTTACAATTCCCTGTAAAATTGGTTTACAAGTTTACAAAAACTTGTAAGATTGATTTACAATTTTACAGAGAATTGTAAAACTGATTTACAAATCTACAATTTCTTGTAAAACGCTAGTTTTAAAGCATTTGCAATGAAAAATAGTTTTTACTTGATAAAATTCTTTTTGTAAAGTCGATTCGTGGGGCAAAAGTGAAATTCTTCATTCAAATATTATAAAATAATTTAAATTGTATATAAAAAACAAATATTGTGAATTTTTTTTGAAGGGTTTTCCCCATAGATGGCACTCTATAAATCAGATTTATTCTTCACACTGCCATCTGTGGGGAAAACCCTTCAAAGAAATAAAAATCACAATATTTGTTTTTTTATATACAATTTAAATTATTTCATAATATTTAAATGAATAATTTCACTTTTGCCTCACGAATTGACTTTATAAAAAGAATTGTATCAAGTAAAAACTATTTTTCATTGCAAATGCTTTAGAACTAGCGTTTTACAAGAAATTGTAGATTTGTAAATCAGTTTTACAATTCTCTGTAAAATTGTAAATCAATCTTACAAGTTTTTGTAAACTTGTAAACCAATTTTACAGGGAATTGTAAACTTGTAAATCAGATTTACAGGCACCTGTAAAATTGTAAGTCAATTTTACAATTTACAAGTTTACAATTATTGTAACTGTACGGTGCAACCGGCCCCAGGCACTATTTAGTGCTTTTATAATAAATTTTATCTCAGTTTTGTCCATAGTACGATTTAGGTTTGATTTTGGGGCTTATTTTCTTCGTTGAAAGAAAATTTCCTGAATATTTTCATCCAATGGGAATTGCTGATTAATTTTTTTTTTGTGGGAATTTTTCGTAAATTTTCCGATGGTTTTCTTTTGGGATTTTGAGATTTTTGTGACGACTTTCACTTGTTGATTTTCTCGACTTTCCTACTGTTTCCTGCTTGAAAATCAAGAAATTCCACAAAGAAGAATCGTCATGAAAAAATATAAGTAAGAAATATTTTTTTTGTTTTGGCTAAAAACTATATCGGTGTTGTTTCCTGGCCAATCGATTTTCGGTAATATATTTCATTCGTAATATTTTTGAAATTTGGGTCTAATATATCTATAATGCGATATCCGATACCAGTTTAATGCAATAGATAAATATAGATGTATTATTAGTTTAATTTCAGTCATCATGCTGCAGCTTCATGCTGTATTTCTTATTAATCATCGAGTCAATAAATAAGTTTTATATCGAAAACGCTTGATTTATTCACGCTTCTAAAGAATCATTTCGCGACTCAATTGGATTAAATTCAGTTTGAATTACGCGCCTGACTTCTGCTCACAACGTAAGTATACAAATGTCAAATTGACACAATTGTGCTCACTCGCACTAAATGTCATTCAGTTTATCAGCTGTGATACATAATACAGTTTAATTCATCAATTGAAAAATGTTTATTAAATAAACTGATAGTTTTTTTCTTCATTATAATATACTTTGGAAAATGGATTGATGGCAAATCCAATTTATTTCCAATTAGTGTGCAGTTATTGCAACCATTTTTAACTGAAGTATTTGGAATCTTTTCCAATCTATGTATAGTGTAATATAGTATAGTACAGTCACAAGGTAATGTTGATATTTTGTTGTAATTTCCTAATTCAATTGTGTGAGTGATATCCAAATATACGACACTAGTCAATATATATATATTGAATGAAAAACTTCACTATGAAATTGGAACTTTTGTTGAATTATTTAACTTACTTATCCTGTGACGTCAATATATGGGTCAAGGTACAAGGTCGTTTACATCTACACATGCTCGTTTCAGTTTATTTACCCACATTCTATCTTCAACAAGAATGAAAAATAAACGTAGATTGCATTGCATTTCACATGTTTGTATGTAAACAAATGATAGAAAATTGTGGAAAATGACTTCGATTAAAACGTTTCGCTTTCGGCCCTGGCATTTTAAACTATACGGAAGCCGAATACACCATTCGTATCGTTCGGTTTTCATTGCCATAAAAACGATTCGCGACGAAGCTATGATATAATTTTCGCAGTAGTTGTATCCATAGAGTTTAAGTGTTCAAATGCAATGAACAAATAACACCAACTAAAATTGAAACGAATTTTAAGCAGAACAGTCGACATTATGATATAATTTTGTTTCCAATTGAATTGAATTGCTAGTTTATACAGTATTTTTTGGTATTTTTAAGTGCATTTCTTCAAAAGTGATTCCACAATTGGTAAGCAAATGATAGTGTTGTGTAAGCATATTTAAGTTTTAAGCAATAGCTCTAGCCTCCCAGTCCCAGAGTGTGCATGTAAATTGTGTGACTAATTTTAAAACGAACTGTCAGTTCCCAGACTTTTAAGAATCACCAAATACAGGGATGGCATTGAGCACAGCCAAACACATTCTGACAAAGTATCCTTTGGTGAAAGGAATGCTTGCATATACAATAACATGGCCAACGGGGAATATAATTCAACAAACAATCGATGGCAAACGATGGGGTAATGATTTTGTATTCCACAACCACACCATGTTCATCATGTTCATACTAATAAATTCATTTAACCATTCATTCATTCAGAAACATACGATTGGAGTAAGTGTCTTTGTTTTGCACTGTATGGTTCACTCTATGTTGCGCCCAGTTTATATGGATGGGTAAAACTCACATCGAAAATATGGCCAGTCACAAATATTCGAACGGCAATGATGAAAACTGTACTCGAACAACTTTCGTATGGCCCTATAGCAACAGCATCCTTTTTCTTTATCATCAGCATCATGGAGCACAGAACCGTTGAGGAAAGCAAACAGGAGGTTATCGATAAATTTTGGCCAACATACAAGGTACGATGACATTGATAAGTACACAATGCAAAATTAACAAACAAAAACTAACCTGATTCCACCGCATTTTCCCATCTTAGATCGGTGTGTTTTATTGGACGGTAGTACAGACCTTGAACTATACGATAATTCCGGAAAGAAATCGTGTGCCTATTGTGAGCTTATTCGGTTTACTTTGGACAACCTATCTAGCGTATATGAAACAAAAATCAATCCCACATGAGAATAAATTGCAATATCTCGAATGTGATCACCCCAAACATTCCACCGTACTCAGAGAATGAACTTATGACTAAGAAGCTATCATTTTTTATTTATTCTTTTTTGTGACCCAATAACCAAAGTTTGAAATGATAGTGAATTAATTATTGGATTGCACATAGAATCAATTTGTTATTTTCAAATTTTGATTTATTATTCATATAAAATAAACGACTTGTTACTGTATGTCAGATGAAATTATTTGGAAATGTTCTAATTCGTTTTTCAAGCAAAATGTCACGCATTCGAGAAATATTCAACAAGTATCCACTGTTCAGAGGAATGTTGTCGTATAGTTTGATATGGCCAACTAGTGCACTTATACAACAAAAAATTGCGGGAAAGTCATGGGGTAAGAAAAATTGGGCTAGCAGAGAATCTTTTCATAATTGAAAATAACTTATCATCAACTCTCTTGAATCAAGATTCAATTGATTGGGCCAAATGTGCTCGATTCAGCTTTTACGGTAGTCTTTACGTGGGCCCAACTCTTTACATGTGGATTCGTATATCGAGTCGTCTCTTTCCACAGCAAACTCTTCGGGCAGCAGTATCAAAGGTTTGAATTTAGAACAAATCAATAATATGATCGTAATTTAACTTTCAATGAAACCTGTATAGGGTTTGCTGGAGCAAATCTCTTATACTCCCGCCGCAATGACCAGCTTTTATTTCATAATGAGTCTACTTGAGGGGAAAAGTGTCGAAGAGGGTATCGCTGAAGTGAAAAATAAATTTTGGCCAACGTACAAGGTAAACCACGTGTTCCTATATATGCAAATTACAGAAAATATGTTTCAATAACAAAAATGCTATTTTAAGGCGGCAATGTGTGTGTGGCCAATCGTTTCAACGCTGAACTTCGCTTTAGTACCAGAAAAAAATCGCGTCGTTTTCATAAGTATGTGTAGTTTAATGTGGACATGCTTTTTAGCATATATGAAACAACTAAGTGTCGAAAAAGACAATTTAAACGCACAAATTGTTTCAAATGTACAATTCGAACATCAGCAAAAGTAGTAATCGAACATCTTCGAAGTATGTATTACCATATTTCGAAATGTCACTTTTCTTTTTGACAGTTCGCATTAATGTTAGGCATTAAGTTGCAAATTATATACTGTAATAGTAAATAAATAAATGGTCACAAATCAATTGTTCAATATTAACAAAGCAGATTGGAAGTAAAACTGAAAAAAATGGCTGATTTGCGTGAAGAAGATATCCCACAAGGTACAGACGATAATGATTCGTCTGAGTTAGTGACGCGACCAACGAAACCGAGCTATGGAGATAGCTCAAATGTTAGTTTAAAGCGAAAAATTGATGATGGATTTACACCGGACGGACCACCGACCAGTTGTCGCAAAGTGGACAACCATACAAAAGTTGTCGCAACGCATTACAATGAATTGAAAGAAAAGGGTCGGGCTGAGCGGTCAAAATCCCAAATTTTCCACATGCGAAACTTTAACAATTGGATCAAAAGTGTGCTTATCAACGAGTTTTTGACAAAAGTCAAAGATTCGACAAGACATGGTGATCCATTGCGCGTTTTAGATATGTGTTGCGGCAAAGGTGGTGACCTCTTGAAATGGCAAAATTCCAACATTACACATTTGATATGCACAGATATCGCCGAGGTGAGCATGCAACAGTGCGAAGAACGATACAAAACGATGATTGATCGAAATCGAAAGAATAAATACCCCAAGAAGATATTCACAGCCGAATTTTTTGCTTGTGATTCAACACTTCAACAGCTACGCGAGAAATATAAGGATCCATCCGTTGAATTGGATCTGGTTAGTTGTCAGTTCGCCTTCCATTACTGCTTCGAATCGCTTAAACAGGCCGAGTGTATGATACGAAATGCGGCCGAATGCTTAAGAGCTGGTGGATATTTCATCGGCACCATTCCCGATGCAAATGACATTATGAAACGACAACGTGAAGCAGATAGTGACGAATTCGGGAACGAAATTTATCGCATAAAGTTTCTCAGTGACACAGAAACGCCACCATTATTTGGTGCAAAGTATAATTTCGAGTTGGACGGTGTGGTCAATTGCCCAGAATTTTTGGTACATTTTCCATTGCTGGTGAAGTTGGCTGCCAAATTTGGATTAAAATTGGTCTTGAAGGAGCGTTTTGATGAATATTTCGAAAAAAATAAGAACAACTGTAAGTTTGATGAATCAAGTTTTTATTCCGTTTTTGCTAATATCTCAATTTTCTTTCTTTTTTGAGATATAGCCAGAGGTCTTCTTGAAAAAATGAACGCACTGGAAACATATCCACCATTTAATCAGAAGGAGGCCGCTGACATGAGCGCATCACCCGAATATGCTCACGTTAAAAGCTATTCGAGAGGTCGAACTTGCGGCACTCTCTCCAAAAGTGAATGGGAAGCTAGCTGTAAGTTCATACAGAAATCAATTGACCCAATTCAATTATGATATTGATGTTTTTTTTTCTTCATTCTAATCTCTTTTAGCGCTCTACTTAGTGTTTGCCTTCCAGAAGATGAAGTCACGCATCAACAGTGAAAACCAGACCGAATATTTTGATTGATTAAATATATGAATTATATTTTTATCTTGAATTGGTAAATTGGAATAAATTTTACAATATGGAACATTGAATGAAAATTGGTTTGTTTTAAGTTGATTAGGCAAAAATTTCATTCAGATGAAAAAAAAGTCGTAGCTAACGTGCGAATAGCATATACGCATCAGCGCATTGAATATCACAGGCCAACAATCGACTTTCGCAATCATCCAAACCAAAAGCGTTGTGCTTCCGCATCGAATACATTTAACCGGCCGCACAGTTGACACATGTCAAAATAATGACTCTGTATTTGGTTGTCATACGACAGAAAGGAGTAAAAGTACCGACGAGTGTGTGTACCGTCACTTTTTCTTTCGAAAGTGTGCTCAATTTTATCATTTGCTTTTGCGTTGTTGGTGTGAATTTTAACAAATTTATTTTTAAGAATTACCCAAGATAGTTCATTCGATAATAGTTGGACTAAATGCTACACAATTTATGTCATCAAGAGAAGAATAAAATTCAATGAAACAGTGGAATCGAGATAGTTCGGATGAATGGTCGGTTTACACGATAACGTACATACCATACGATATAAAGTACGCAAACTCTCTTACGTATATATAGGTGAAGAGCGACATCCGAAAGAAGTGAACGCAAACGAAAAAGTTGGTTGTACGGTGGATTGCGTTGTGGCGTTTTAATGCGTTTGTCGCGTTTGCTGGGACTTAGAAAATTTCTCGTTCATTTACCTTCACGAGTTGTTCCGAAGAAGGCTGAAAATTTTTCTATCAGTTGTGTGAATTGGTACAATTTTTGTGAACTTAGAAAATTTTCGGTGTGCATCGCAACCATGAGCATCGAAAATTCAGTTGTCGGCGGATCTACCGATTCGGTAATTATAAAAAATTTACATCATTTTTGATTTGGAACATTTTTCCTGTATATTGTATTGGTGAATTCGTTCATTTAATGGCACTTTATTTGTGAACGTGAAAAATGGCGACGAACGACTAAGTCTTACGTCGTCCATATTGTTCTATCACTTGTTAAAGTTGAACATAGAGAAAAGAAAGACGATCGAACGCATAACGCTGTGTAGCACAACACAAAGCGTACTGTATGTGTACGCGAGAGACAGTAAAACGATTAAGTGCGACGAACATGTAAAGCTAGCAACAGTAGCGGAATATATTGCCAATGAAATTTCATTGAAACAATACAGTTCGCTGCTGTTTTTTTTTTAAATTCAAGACAAAATTATTGCTTTCGTCATTCAAGCACTGGATAATTTTCTCATCAAAACATTTATGTATTATGAAAGTTGCATTCGTATCCCAAATAAAGTGCTAGATATATACATACATTTTTACCAAATTATGTTTTCAATTTTTTGGTTTTCGCTAAAATCTATGTATGTGTTTTTTTTCGACTGACGCGTCGATTTGAAATATATAAGCTGTACTCATTGCGATTTTGTTTTTTTTTTCTTCTGTATTTCTACTGTGATTTGGTGTTGGTGTTGGTGGGTGATTCGTACTATTTTATGTTATTTTGAAATTCTTTGCAAATCAGGAAATTAAAACAATGAATGGACTAAATGGTGTGAGTAATGGACACTCAGTGGTGAGCAGTGGAAGTTTGGAGAAGAAAGAAAAGTCGAAACACAACAGCAGCAGTTCGCATCATCATAAATCGTCTAGTAAGGATAAACACCGTGACAAAGATCGAGAACACAAAAGTTCAAAGACTTCGCATTCCAGTAGTAGCAAGTAAGTAACTTCATTTTATGATTCCATGTAGAAATTCATGAGTCTGGCGGCATCCGTTCTACGTAGCGTTGATGCTCTATTTGAATGTGGAATTTGTATGATTTTTTTTTCGATAAAAATCTAATTGATAATGTTTTGTTGGAAACAGGGATAAACACCACTCGAGCAGCTCACGTCACGATAAAGATAAATCTTCATCGGATAAACATAAATCGTCCTCCGACAAGGACAAACACAAGAGCTCATCTTCTTCGAAACATCATTCAGGCAGCAGCAGTGGAAAGTGAGTGGATTTTTTTTTAAATGTGCAGAGTGTATGAATTTAAAAAAAATGTGTTTTCGTTAAAGGGACAAGCACCGTGATAAAGATCGAGAACGAGACCATAAAAGTTCGAAGAGCAGTCACTCGCATTCCAGTAGCAGCAAGTATGCGGCTTTTCTCGATGTCTTATTAATGAAACGCCAGAGTTAAAATGCATTTTTTGTGTTTTATAACAGGGACAAACACCATTCATCCAGTAGTAGCTCACGTCACGATAAAAGTAAATCATCAACGGACAAAGATAAGGACAAACACAGGAGCTCATCGTCAAAGCACCATTCGGGCAGCAGCAGTGGCAAGTATGTTATGCTGCAATGGCACCAAAATCGTTTGGATTTTAAATGTATTGAATACGAACAAAATTGTTTTTTTCTTCTCCAAGGGACAAGCACCGTGATAAGGAGCATAGAGAGCATCGTGATAAGGACAAACATTCATCGAAATCTAGCCATGATCGTCACAAGGCTGAGAAGAAAGCTTCTGAAAACGGTGTTTCACATATTAAAGCCGAACCAGTTGCTGTTATCAACGAGGAGCTCAGAGATCCTTTGGACACTGCCAACTTTTCGTTTTCGGAAACGAATGCCATTCAGGCAAATGGCATTCGCGACTGCTTCGTGAATGTATCGCAAATTTCGGAGACTAGTTCATGTGACTACTCAATGTCACAGTTCAGGGCCGATGAGTCGGCATTTTCGATTAAAGAGGAGGCTCCTGAAGTTGACGATGATGGCGAGGAGATTGCCAGTTTTGGTGTATTTAGAAATGAAACACTTGATAGCCAAGACGATGAAGATGTTCCGATTGCCCAAAGAACCAAGAAAATCAAGCGCGAAATAACCGATGACGAAGATGAAATGCCGCTAACTGCTCGCAAGAAGCCCAAGACCGAGAAGAAAGAAAAGAAAATTAAGCGTGAGCCTAGCGACGACGAAGAAGATGACTATGACAAACCGAAAAAGAAGAAGATCAAAAAAGAGAAGGTACGATCGATCTATTTAATACACATATATGCATAAACATTAGAGAATAAAACTAATGGTGTACCATTCGAAATATTCAGAAGGTAAAGGAAGAAATTAAGACCGAATCTGCTTCACCACAAAAAGGACGTAAGAAAAAGGAGGGCGAGACACAAGAAGTTTGGAAGTGGTACGTTATAAATCCTGACATTAAATTTGTGGATAATCAAGCAAATGTTTCAGACCAATATATGAATCATTTACAACAGGTGGGAAGAAGAGAAACCTAAGGATGGCACGAAATGGTCGTACTTGGAACACAAAGGGCCGGTATTTGCACCGGACTATGAACCACTACCACAACACGTTGTTTTCGAATATGATGGCCACCCAATGAAATTATCACAAGATGCCGAAGAAATTGCTGGTTTCTATGCCAGAATGTTGGAACATGACTACACATCGAAGGATATTTTCAATAATAACTTTTTTAAAGATTGGCGCAAATCCATGACGTCAAAAGAAAAGGAAAAGATAACTCGTTTGGAAAAATGCAACTTCCGGAAAATGGCTGCATATTTTACGGAGTTGTCCGAGCGCAACAAGAATCGCACAAAGGAAGAGAAGCTTGCACTCAAGGAGGAGAATGAAAAATTGATCAACGAATATGGGTTTTGTACAATTGATGGTCACAAGGAAAAAATCGGTAATTTCAAGATTGAACCGCCCGGTTTGTTCCGTGGCCGTGGTGAGCATCCAAAAATGGGTTTAGTAAAGAAGCGCATCATGCCCGAAGATGTAATGATCAATTGCTCGAAAAACAGTAAGATTCCAGTGCCACCGAAAGGACATCGTTGGAAGGAAGTGCGTCACGATAACACAGTTACATGGCTTGCGTCATGGACAGAAAATGTGCAGGGCCAAGTAAAATATGTCATGTTGAATCCAAGTTCCAAATTAAAAGGTGAAAAAGATTGGCAAAAATACGAAACCGCCAGACGATTACACAAACACATCGAAAAAATTCGTAGCACCTATCGTGAGGAATGGAAATCGAAAGAGATGCGTATACGTCAGCGTGCAGTGGCATTGTATTTCATCGATAAACTCGCACTGAGAGCGGGTAATGAAAAAGATGAAGATCAAGCCGATACGGTTGGCTGTTGTTCATTGCGTGTTGAACACATCGAACTACACAAAGAACTCAATGGCAAAGAGAATGTTGTCGTATTCGATTTCCTTGGTAAAGATTCCATTCGCTACTACAATGAGGTAGAGGTTGAAAAACGAGTGTTCAAAAACTTGGAATTGTTCAAGGAAAACAAAAAAGATGGGGACGATCTGTTTGATCGTCTTAACACGGTTGTTATGAACGAACATTTGCGCGATCTTATGGACGGTTTAACTGCTAAAGTATTCCGTACGTATAACGCCTCATGGACGCTTCAAAATCAATTGCAACAAATGACCGATCCAAATGCATCGATACCAGAAAAATTGCTTGCCTATAATCGCGCCAATCGTGCTGTTGCTATTTTATGTAACCATCAACGTGCTGTTCCTAAAGGCCATCAGAAGAGCATGGAAAATCTTAAAGAAAAAATTCGGGCTAAACGTGACCAAATTGACGATTTAGAAGTCGATGTTAAGGTAAGTGCAATCTACTTGTGTTTTTATAGTGTTTTTTTCTTCGGTTTTCGTCATGACACTTTTGAATGAAATACTCACCTCTCTTTACTTTGTCTAGGATTGCGTGAAAGCAGCCAAACGAGGTTCAGTTAAAGAAAAAGTAATTGCCGACAAGAAGAAAAAGCAATTAGAAAAACTGAAGGAGCAATTGAAAAAGCTAGAGCTACAAGAGACTGATCGAGATGAGAACAAAACAATTGCATTGGGAACATCAAAGTTGAACTACTTGGATCCTCGGATATCGGTAGCTTGGTAAGTCTTTGAACGTGAAAATTGAATTCTGTGTTTTAATTTTCAAATCGAATTTTCCTCTTCCAAAAGGTGCAAAAAACATGGTGTTCCAATCGAAAAAATTTATAATAAAACACAACGTGACAAGTTCCGTTGGGCTATCGATATGGCTGATGAGGACTACGAGTTCTAATTTAAGAACAATATTTGACGTCTGATCAGCCGATATTTTCGAATACTACATAAGGATAGTATGTAGATTTTTTTTCTCTCGCAAAGTTGATTGCAAAAATATAAATACAAATATGAATAACGATGCGATGCGAAAGAAGCCAAAATTTTCAAAATGTAACAAAATCCTGCACATTCAACGCAATTATTTACATCCAAAACAAAATACTGAAGGAAGAATTAGAAACAAAAGAGGAGATCTTGCTATTAACAAAAATGTCTGTAGTTATGTTAGGTAATTAAATGAATGGTATGAAAAAAAAATTATGCAAACAACAAACGTTAATATTTAGGCAACCTATATAAAATGAAACAATTGTCGATTAAAATTGTAATTAATAGCTTTTTCGAAAGAAAAAAATTAAATATTATATTTCATTAGGTTTTATTTCTCTTTTAATCGATGCAATAATATCGAACTTTGAAAATATTGTTTGCTAAAGAAACCCCAACAAAATATCAAATTTCAACGCGAAACAATTAATTGTATAAGAGTCGGGGCCAGTTACATTTTTTTTTTGGTTTTTAGACTGTTTTATTTGGTGAATAAGTGTCTAATATGACATAAAACAGCAGGTCACCAGCTATACCGCCTTCAACAAATCTATTTTTTAAATTCCTGTTTAATATTTTTGCATTGTACAACTAAATTTTCCGAAGAAATGGAAGTGTTTGATATTTTTTGAATGAAATTGCATATGGGCAACAACAAAATAAAAACTACCATCAACAATATGGAAACAAAAAAATATCTTATTTTATTAGTGATTATTGTAAATTTAATTTTAGAGATTATTATCATAAAAAAAAACTTGAAAAATTCCATTAATGGATTGCTATTTACGAATGAGACAAATCAATGCGAATTATTTCATGATATAACCCAAATAGCTGATATCAATTACAATAAAAATTAAAATACAAAGTATTTTGATGTGAATTTATTTTCAACTATGTGTGTAATATGTTTTTTTGAAGTAATAAAGTGAGAGAAATCACACATCTAACGTGGAAATTATGTCGTAATTATTTCATAGTCTATAATCAGGCCAATTTTTGCAACGAGAAAGTCAATTGACTTGATTTTTAAAGATACCAGCCGTTTTCAACTTCTATTTAGTGAGAAAAAAAAACTTCAAAGTGATAGCAACTTGAGTTTAATTAGTGATATTGTTTGGGTTTATAATTTTAAGCTACGGAACATTTGTTCGTTGGGTACATCCAAGAATAACAATTTAAAAATGTCATTAAAGAATTCTGGGTAATATTCGCAAGCCCGCTTGCAGTCGGGCAAAAAGTTGATTTCTAATAGTTTTGGTTGAATACGTTTTTCATCGCCGTCACCCTCCCATTCCAACATGATATCTGCGGCGTACAGAGCTCTTGATTGTGGTGATTTACCAATGCCGCATGGTGCTTTTTTCTGTGTGGCTCCAACCAATACTTCATGCAAAATTTGTCGAATGTCATTCTCAATATCTGTCCAATTGAATTTTGGATATTGTTCTATCCACAGTTTTAGAAAATCCGCACATTTCAAATGCAACAGCTGCAAATGCTCTCCATAGTTCATGACCGTGAAGTGCTTTTCATATTCGTCGAATTGATTCAAACCGAATGGCTTATTTGCAAATCGTAGAAAGAAGTTGGTATAAATATACGCTTCCAGTGGTTCAGTACTTTTCACCAAAAATACATAACGTACATCGAATTTGACCTTAGCACCAATATCAACACGATCAAAAAGCACCGGGTTTTCAATATATTTCTGGGCAATTTTTGGTCCGGTTGGCTGAAGGCGTACGATTTGAGCCACATTTTTGCTGATATAAGTATCAAGACCTCGTGCTAAATTCCAAGGTTTCACGATCCAATGGTTGTCCAGCTCTTTTTCGTCCCTCGCTTGATTGTAACTGACAAATTGAAGTAATTCGGTCTTCAGATTGTATGTTGTTGGTAACCATTTGGGATAAGTTTGCAGCGTTTCTTCGTCACAGTATTTGCTGGCAGTCCGGCGACAAACAATTGCGAGCAAATCCTTGATTGTTATAACATTTTCGAAGGGAAATTGATTGATAAATTTATTTGGTGCATGTTCCGAAAACTCCCGATAGATTTTAAAATGTGAAGTAAGCCATAGAATATCAGCTTCCTCCTCCTGATCAACGACTTGAAACAATGGATCCGTCAAGTGTTGTTGGACCATGGAATAAGTAGTAAATACTCGCAATGGACGCAATCGATCAATTTTCGGACTTGTGGCACTTGCGATCGGTAATGATTCTTCGATGTGTCCATCGAGGAAATATTTTGGATCAGGTTCGCTTTGTTTGAAATCCACATCCTTGAAGTTTGTGTAGCGCCAAGGTAAAAGCAGTGCATTTCGAATGTCAGCATCAGTATTGTTGACTTCTGCAAAGTCTCTGGTTACTTGCTCGCCATCGGGTGCATCTTTTACTGGGAACAATAAGCTGTATGTAATACCTTCCGGTAAATGCATGAACGGTACTATGCGGAAATTGGGTGAATCGCTGTGGTTCACAGCAGATCCCAATTCATCCATGATGTACCTTATAGTATAAGAAGAAATAAAAAATAATAATGAGAGACTATTATCATAACAAAAACTTGAATTATACTCCATTATGTACCAAATCGGCATGCGGTCTTCAATGGGAATATCTGTATCGTTTGTCGTGCCAAGTGCATACATTTGATTATATCGCCACATTGCATCCATCACAAATTCAATAGCATCATCAGTGTCGAGATGAGATGCTCCCATCATATTGGCAAGTCGATTTAGCAGAGCCGGCACTTGTTTCAACCGAGTGCGCGCATTGTTTAAACGATATGTCCAAGCATGATCGATAATATAAATTTCTTGCGCGTTCGATGCTTTAATTCCAGCTGGTTTGGCGACAACAACAGCAAACAATGGGTCTTCTGGATCCTTCTCACCTTCATTATATTCAATCATCAGCAGTTGAAAAGCGTTGCCGGCATCGAAAATTTGCTGCTCCAACTTACGGCTGAGTGTATGCCAAAAATGTTCAGGTACACCAGAGCTAGTTAATTGATTGCCATGCAAATGCACAAATTCTTTAAACTTATCAACACCGTCCATAATAACAAATCATTTACTAACAATTTCACGGTTAGAATGAACGAAGTGGTGAGGTTAAACTGTCTACAAACAAATGTGCGAATGACAGTTCACGTGTCGATAACATTTAGTATTCCATTTCAATTGAAACAGCTGTTTCAATTTCAACATCTAAATTGACATTCAACCGTTCGTGTTCTAAAGCATTCTAAACGAACGAATGCTCATACTCGATACAGACAGATGTGCTCCAATATTTTTAGTACGCAGACGAATCGGTCTTGACAGAAAACGAAAAGAAAAGAAGAAGAAGAAGAAGAAATGAGCAAGAATAAAAAGAACAAAACGCACAAAGAGTGAAAAAGTAAATAATATAAAAGAGCATTTGTAGCCTTTTTTCTGTTTCCACATATTTTATTTCATTCGAATGTAAATTCTGTGGTAAATTGGTAACGCCAATTGGTTCATTTGTGTGCATTGCGTTCAAATAATGATAAAATAACTGAATTTCTCTATACATTGTAATCGAAATAGTTGTTAGTTTCGGTGGTGCACATCTGTTCGTATATATATAAAGAGTTCGTTCGAATTATTCGGTCGTCATGAATATTCCAACAAATGGAATCTATTCATTCAAATTCGATTTGCAAGATTTGTGTCGCATATGCGGAACAACTAGTAACGATTTAAATTCGATGTTTGATGACGACAGTGGCAGTGCATACGATTTTGCTTCCAAAATTAATGAATATCTACCAATAACAGTAAGCATAAGAAGCAATACAAAAATGTTGCAACACATTTTACTATGGTTGATTTCAGCACATTTGTATTATTGCTTGTTTCAGGTTCGAAAATCCGATTATCTACCACAGAGAATATGTTCGATGTGTGCATCAACATTGCTCTCATTCCACCAATTGTACATCATATGTCAAAGTAACAACACAAGATTTCTGCAATCGCTTGAGGGTGAGGCGTATGAACATCATGTTGTCAAAAGTCAAGTTGTCGGCGACACAAGTGAATTGCTTGAGTTGCAAAGTTCATTTTCGCGCGAAATCGAAAATGAAATCCTTAATATGCATGAATCGAAAGAAATCAACGAAGCGGAAAGTGAAATAGCGGCAAATGCAGCTGTAAAAGAACTTGAACGAATCGGATCGGCCGAAAATATTAGTTTGGTCGACGATGCCGCTGATGTTTTGCATTCGATGAATGATGAGAAAGATGGAACATTAAATCAAAAAAAGTCCGGTGGAAACAACGATAAGGACGATGATTTAGAAGGGGATTTGCAAGATGCTGAAATTCGCAACAATACTAGGAATAAATTGAAAAAGGTTCGTAAACAGAAAAACGATGAAAAGCCTAAATCTAATACAAAGACTGCAAAGGTAGCGAAGTCGCCGAAAAAGAATGTTAAAAACCTGAAAGCTGAAATTTTGAAGGAAAATATTACTCGATCAAAGAGCAACAAAACCGAAAAAACCCCGGTGTCTGTGGTGGATAAGGACATAAAAGAAAATAACTTTGTGGAAAATAAGAACCAAATGTGAGTATATGGCGATATAGTACAACAATTGAAATATCGATACAGATTTGAATTAGTTTATACTTCGGCATTTTCGGTATCTTACTAGTGGCCTTATTACTCATATTAGTCTAATAAGATGAAACTATACTATCACTCATCACTTTTTTGCACAAATAATACGGGTATAGTTACTAGAATGTTATTAGTCGAACGAGTAATAAGATGGATGACGTCTTATTAGTATAGTCCAGACTCTAGAGTATATTTATTGGATGAAATGGTGAAGTTATTAGTTTGGAAGCAAATTTTCTCGCAATATTTTTGCCGCAAGATTGCATCTTATTACACCGTACAACACAACTTTTCACACATGAACACTTGAAAGGCCCGTTGATAGAGCTCAAAATTCCAAACAAAACTGTATCTTTAGTTTTTCTGTGGGACGTCAAATTTTTTTTTATCGCGTTGTGTATTTTTTTGCTCTGGTTATTAAAAGTTAATAGGTATATAGTAATAAGTGATAACTATTAGTCACTATTTATTAGTCAAACTTTGAATTAGTGTTAATTTTGTACGTCTATTGAAGTCAATTAATTTTCGTTGAATTAAATTCAAACATCTTTCAAACTCTTTCAGATCACTAAAAACACCGTGTGATTATTGTTCATTGGAGTTCACCACAAAAGCGTTGCTGGTCGAACATGTGAAAGACTCGCACAACGATCTCATTTTCCATTGTGAAATGTGTGATGACTATGTCGCCAGGGTCGATTTGATAAGCCATATGCTTAATCATGCTATTGGAATTAATTCGAATAGCACGACAAAGGAACAAGCCGCTGAAGCAGAGGATAAAAGCCATCTCCAAGAGTCACCAGAGAAAAGAACACCAGAAGATGTTAGTAAAAATTCACCGGCCAAAACTATTGTTAAAGCGGAGAAGCGCCACGAAGTGATTAATGGAAATCACAAGGCTCCAGTGCCGAAGAGCCGAGCACAAAATTATTGTTCTGAGTGCGATAAAACATTTGCCGATTCTGGTGGCTTTAAGTACCACATTAATTCATTCCACAAAAAGATTAAGAAGTACGAGTGTGACATATGCGGTAATCACTTTTCGTGCAAACGAGTCATCACCAACCATTTGCGTGGCGTTCACATGAAAGAACGGATTTTTGAATGTAATCAGTGTGCAAAGAAATTTTCAACTGATTCAGCGCTGTATATGCATAAGAAAATTCATGAAAATGTGTTCAAATGTGTGTGTGAGGTGTGTGATCGAAAATTTAGATCAATGTCAAAGCTTAAAATTCATATCACCTCGCATACCAAAGAAAAGAATTATTTCTGTGAGATTTGCCAACGAGGATTTGCTGTGCGAAACAACCTCACCAAACACATGTTAACGCATTCGAAATTGTTCAATTTCAAATGTGACAAATGCAGCTATGTTGCAAACCAACGACGATATCTTGCCGAACACACTAAACGGTCGCACAAAACATAATACGTTACACACCATATAAATCATAAGACTTTTTACAAGCCATATTCCACTCTAAATTAGTTCGTCTCCCGATAAATCCAAATTCTTTCCACTGAGATAATTCGCGATACATTTTATTGAATATTGAATTGTTATAATCATCAAAATAACGACTGTCTTCATTGATTTGAATCTCTGAAGTTGGAAACGTGTACTGAATCTACAATTCGATATTTTCACGTAATATCTATAAAAAGAAATAATTACAGCCGGTGTAATTGCGTAGCAAGTATGTACTTTCTCTGGAAATCATCTCTCAGTGAATGATGATTTTGAAAGCGCCAATCAAATAGATCTCCAAATCGATGTATTTTATAAGAAGATATTAACAAAGCAATTGTTAATTTAAATTAAGTACGAAAACATCACTAACCCATAATTAACGACTCTTTTCTTTCCCTTTTGGGAAATTCATCGATGCATCATTTTAGCAAGTAGGTTATTTGTACCTTAGAACATCATCCAGTGAATTCATTATTTGTTTTCAGTAGCCGTAAGTAGAAACTTCTGTTCATGTTCTAGTTAAGTTAGTTCAATTGAACTGTATTTCGTTAAATTATTGCTATCTTAAGTTAAGTTATAAGATTAATGTCTTATTTATCACCCAGTTGTATTCATATTCATTTGAATGACAATGAAAATGTGTTTATTGTTTTGTTATTGTATGTATGTATCTCAAAATAAAAAATATTGTCTAATGCAGTATGAGCAGGTGAAATATTTCCTTCTTGAACCGCCCATTCAAATAAACGGCGTTTTTCTGTGAATGCATTCATTCGATTCATTGCGCAAGTTCATTTTTGATGTACTAAAATAAACATTCTACTACTAATGAATAAATGTTTGTGTGAGTAAATGTCAAAATGAATTCAGATAGTCGATGAGTCTTTTTTAGTACAACAAATGCAATCAAAACAGAAAAAAAAACATATTACGCACAAACAAATTAACTAAATAACTAAATAACCAAATAGTTCTTAGTTCGAATCGAATTTCACTCGAAACTCGAATTTTATTTTTACTATGAACAGTGAGTGATTGAAATGGCATTGTCAAATGTATTATTGTTGAGTCAGATTGCTGGCCATGTCGTTGTTTTGATATTGTCTTTGTGCATTGTCGTTCCAATGCTTTGCCATGTCAGTGATTTCAATGACCATTGTTTGCTCTTCACCACGGGCGATTGGAACGAGGACACCGGACTTTTTGATATTCAATGGAGTTCACAATTTTACTGCAACTTCACTGTCATCACTGGATTTTTCCTTATGTTTGTATCAAGCATCGAAATCTATAGGTAACGGAAGCGTATTATTCTTTTTTTCTTTGCCACTGACCATGTTATCATTGTTACCTGTCAGAATGACGCGATTGCAGCTGAAAAAAATTGATTCATCATTTTTGGGGTTATTTTTGGATACGGTTCTTGGCTTTCTATCGTGTCTGATGACATTCGGCTCAGCTATTATTATCTCTCTTGGCTTTATCACTTGGTGCTCACGAATGACTCTCAGATTCCCATCGTAAGTAGATGATGTCATTTGATCATTTACATCTGCTGTTCAATTAAATTGATTTTAAGTCATTCACCATTTGTATCAATATATGCATTTAGATGTGAAAGTGCAGCTGGACTAAACATTACCAAAGAGCAAGATCATATCCATACATCTGGATTTCATTTTGAAATGGGTATTGCACAGTTTGGTGCTTGGAGTTCGTTCGCTGCTTCAGTTGGCCTTACTGTGTTTGCACTTCTGAAATTAGTCAGTGATCATCAATTGCGCAATATGAAAGCCAGCATGTATTTGGAACGACAACGGCTTGTAAATGAAGATTCATTCCGTGATGAAGGAATAAGTGATGTGCCAAACGCTCAAAATCTCCCACAAGATTCTCCTTAAGTTTGTTTTCTGTAACCAAAATGCTATAGCAGCGAATTAATCTTGTTATGAAATTAACTTTTAATCCAACAACACAATTGATTTCGACTCCCGCATAAAAATTCCAAGCATTGATCTTAGAATTAAGCATACAATCTGGAATGTGATGTGGAAATATTGAGAAAAAAAAAATCTTAAACAAATCAATTGGTTTATTGTTATATTTAATTCAAGCTTTATATTCCAACTTATTTTACAAAATTTCACTTAAGAATAAATAATTCGAAACAAAAACATAGCTATTTTTTTCATTAGAAGTTATGAAATGTTATGACGTTTCAAATCTTATTGGAGAAATGTTTAATCGAATCATCCGTGTACTAAGATGATTTCAATGAATGCCGTAAGAGTAAATCAAACTGATACCATATTCCGAGCGATTTGGAATGCGGCAACGAATGCAGACAATTGAGGTTTTTCGCAACACCCAGCCGCAAGGCTCTGTTCAATCCGTGCTATTTTAATCAGCAAACACGACATGATGCGCGGTGGCAGCTCGACTAAAACAAAAAAATCGTTAGAATGTATTGCATATTACGCATTAAAATTGAACCGCTGCAAATGGTCGAGATGTGTTTGTCAACGGTTCAAATACGATTCGTGTTATACGAATTTTATACTCTTACGTACTTCTCATAACAAACAAGTGGACTTCACGTAATATATCTTCCAAAGCCAAACCTTTATTGGTCTTGAGATCTTGAATTTCTATAATAAAAAAAAAACGACCAATTAACCTATTTGGCGTGTTCAAAACTGTTTACCAATTCCTTACTTTCACAACACTCTTGAAACGATTCCACGGACATCAGCCAATTGATGATAGTTTTTATGTCGCTCGGAGTTGGATGCCCGACGCACAAATAAACGGTTTCTTCAGTGATGTTCTTGTGTGCCATCCAAGTACTCTGAAGTACATTGAGCACTTTGCGCATGTCACCATTTGCTAGTTTGATCAAGGCTTTCTTGCCGTCATCCGATACTTTCAGTCTATTGTTTTTCAGCAATGCAAATATTCAACTGAGTTAAGTTGTTGAATTTAAATCAAACGTGGATACAAACCTTTCTTGATCGATGACATAATCAAGTCGTGGAATGATTTGATCTTCAGATAACGGGGCGAAACGGAAGCGAGTGCATCGAGACTGTAGTGCCGGTATTATTTTGCTCAGATAATTGCAAATTATGCAAAATCGTACGTTGTCGGTGTATTTTTCGATGACTGAAAATGTATCGTCAGGCAAAAGTCAAACAATTAAATTCAAAAAGTTTTCTAATATATATAAAGAATGGGCATACCTCTCCGCAAAGCATTTTGAGCATCGTTAGTCATCGCATCGGCTTCATCCAAAATGATAAGCTTGAAACCCTTTGAAAAGATGGTTCTGGTGGATGCAAAGTCAAGAATCTTTCCACGAACAATACCAATGCCACGATCATCTGATGCATTCAATTCCAAAACCATCGACTGGAAGTCCTGAAGTGAAATTAGCGTCCAATTGTTGGCATTAGAGACAATGATAATAATAATAATTATTATTCTTAAAATACCTTTTCAGCATACAACTTTCGCGCGCACGCCAGAATTGAGGTTGTTTTGCCAGTGCCGGGCGGACCATAGAAGAGCAAATGCGGCAACTGATTTTGTTCGATGAATTTCGAAACTGAAATTTTGATTGGAAATATTATGATATAAAGAGAAAGAAGTTTTGAATACACATTTGGTTACTCACTTGTGGCGATAATCTCATCGTGCGAAATCAGTTCGTTGAGCGATGATGGTCGATATTTTTCGATCCTATGGAATGAAAATAAATCAGTGAAAAATGACGTAAGCTATAGCTAAATCGCGAAAATTAAAAATTATTATTATTACTAAATTACATACCATGGCAAGTTTATTGCTGCAGTGTCTCGACTCATATTTTGTACGTTGACAATTTATATTATTCTTGAAATCAATCTAAACTTGTTGTCTCAACAATGGTTTTAGGTGTAATGACACAAATGACAATTTTTGCCGCTTTTTTCCATACACTCAAATTGATCGATGCGCCATCTATGATTTATTCAGCTCAATTACAGTCGCTGTATATTCTCATAATAATGAAAGATGAGTAAATTCAATTGATTTGTTCGCCGTCAAATCGCTTCACATCAACGATTTGCTTTTGAATATGGTTGTTTGGAAAACTAATTTAATGGTTCGATAAAAAGAAAAGTTTCATCTCCAGCTACCGCTGACCATAAACAACAATTACATTCATAGTTTTAAAAAGCAATGGGCCTATTCAGCTACTCATCGCAACACAACGAAGTTACTACACAGTTTTTCTGTCATTTGTTTACACTCATTCATGAGCAAGCGAACAAGAGTGGAAGAAAGAGAAAAGCAGAAATGTACTTTGCGTACAAAGAATACAACCTCTTATTAGTGTAAATTCAGTGGCGTACGCGTTCAGTTTGTCTTTTATACTGGAAGAGCGGTAGTGCGCATTCGCCCCAGATTTTATTTCAATCATTTTTATATATAAACATTTCATTTGAAATAAGTGTAAGTTAATTGTATTTTTAAACGAGAAAGGACAATATTCTTCCTTGATTATTCATTGTTGCTTTGCGAAATTAAATTGTTCCGTAAATAGAGAGGCGCACAGTGGTTTCGGAAAGTTCTCTTTGATTTGACATTTGTGTGTATGTGTTCAGTGCATTCCTCGAAGAAAAACTTGTTTTTATTAGAAAGCCAATTGATTACTTGGTGATATCGTTGACACAAATTAAGTTTGGTAAATTTTATTTAAAAACCAATTGGTAATTCAACGACAGGAAGACTGTTTTCTGGAACATAATCATTTCCTATAGTAAGTGTGATGAGAGTATGTAAAAGTTTTTTGTTCAATACATTTATGGTGTTATTTCTCCAACAACTGCTTCTTCTTCTTCTTCTTCTTCTTATACAATTTCTCCTACATGCTCTGCTCTGTTCTGTTCCACTGCTGTGTGTGCGTACATTGTGTACCTATATATGGTTGGTTATGACATAGAAAGAACAAAAATCGGAAAAGAACAAAAAAACAACAACAACAACGTACATGCATAACATACAAACATTTTTAAGGCGATACATAAACAGAATCACGCGAAAGCCGATTACAAAAAAAAATTCTTTCGATGAAAATGGACAACGCCTGCTTGCAAATACAAATGAACGGGAAGAAATGTACAAATAAAATATAATATAATATAAAGTCAAGTAATGTATGCAAGCAAGTGATCCAATACAATTCCGTGAAAACTCAACATCGTGTTGATTATGGCTTTATCGCAAAACAAACTAGCATTTCATTACTGTATGCTGTTCATTCTTTCAAGCGTCTAAATCAATTTTAGCAGGAAATATTTCAAACAGTTTAAATCTAGAATTTCTCTCCGTCGAAAGTAACAAACTGAAATGTATGAATATTATTTTGTTTTCATTCTGTTTCAATTTGAGGATAAATCATCAAGTCAATATCATCTTTCAAATCAGACAACTGTCGAATCATCTAACAATCTGAATATGTATGAAATGTTTCAAAAAAAAAGTCGTTTGGCACCCAACACAAAATGTAAATAAAGTCTCCGTATAACTTACTTATACCACTAGCATTTACAGTATATATGCTTTTTAAATGAATACGCAACACGACGGCTGATTCATTCTTTTATTTTTCGGGCGTTGTAATGACAAACTCAAACCATTTGTGTAGTTAAATATGTGAAATATGTGTGTATACTAGTACATTTTGCTCATGGTTTTAGCCTGCATGGATACAGTATTGTTAGTTTTCCGTAATGGTAATAAAAAAGGGATCTATTTCGGACCTAATGTTTACTTGAAGATCGATTTTCCACGTACATGTAAACAACCGGAGCACATAGGCCACCCCTGCTGTGGACACTTCCTTGAAGAGAACCAAATGCAGTGGAAATTCTGTGTTTTTTGGTTGGCCATTGCCATTTATCAGATAAAATATTTATCACCTGCCATGGTAAACCCGTTTCAAATTCAAATTGTTCGCATTTGCTCAATATGTGCTCTAAAAGCGGCGCGTGTATAGCTAAAATGCACTGTATCATACAGACAAAATCCATATTTACATTTTTTGGATTCTTCAAACTGAAAAAATCCCAATTACATATCGCTTGTTAATCGTCACCAGGGAAATCATGCTGGTTTTCGTGTTGGCTAGGTACAGAAATATGTGTTTGTATGTTAGTTTTGAAGGTTGGCCAAGTGAATTTGATCAATTTGACTGTGCCAAATTGTTTCACCGTAAAAAAATAACAAACATACATGTCGGCATCATGTGTCACGTTTTTTAGAGACAAAACTGTGTTTTAATTAGATAAAAATTTCGCGATGGCACCATTTTCGGACGATAAGTCTACGTATTTTTGGAAATTTAATCACGTTTTGACTTAAAGTATTTACCATGAATTTCTATTTCTTCGCAACACCCATAGTCAAATGTGCGAGATACCAACCATATGACAGTTCATCTAACAAACGAAAATTAAATCAATGAATGGTTTAACATGAACGTGATTTATCATCATTTCTGACGTATATTTGTCGAAAAAGTGACTATGCGGATAATGATAGAAGCTGAACGGGAACAATTTATCGACACAAGTATTGATGATAATGACGACTGAATCATACTGTGAAACTTGTGTTACTTGATAACAATTCAAGTGTTTGTTCATAAGATGCCGTGTTCACTGAACTCATTATCAATTTAATAACCAGAATATTCTTCTAAACATTTTTCAATGGGCACGGCTCAATAGTCGGAATATAACTGTCAAAATAAAATGAAAGTCATTACTTTCTCTACGAAACAAAAAAAGACAACACACTTTTACTATTAAAACGGAAACCGTTTCTATTCTTCTCTCTATTCATATTTAAAAATGAAAGAATTTTACCGAATCCGTTTTGTCTGAACTTATTGAAGAAAAACAAACACTTTGACCGAATTGACTCTCATCGTCTATCAAAACCTAGAAAACCTAACATAGATACACAATTTCTTGATGTGGAAAACAGAAAAAAAACATCGAACATGAATCGGTATGAATTCAGCTTTCAAAATCTTTAAACATTGTTGAGCTATTTTCAAACCAATTGATTACTCAGCATTTAAAACTTTTGGATGCGCTTGTTTCTTTTGCTTAAAATCACGTCTAATTTTATAACTTCCAAACAAACCAATTGCAAATGGAATGAGTCATGCAGCTCAACACAGTGAACAAGCTTTTCATTGAATGTGTGTATGAAGTGTAAAGACGTGTATCCAAGCGAATGATGCATTGTTCTTTTTCTTTTCTCACCAATACTCACCAATATTTTTTTTCTATTTCTCTTTTTGCTTGGGTTCGGCGTTTTTCCCTCGAAAGCTAATTTGCACATTTAATACAATAATTAAATGGTGTTTATGTATACGTGCGCGACTTTTTTTAGCTCCATGTTCCGTTGTTATGTAATTGTAAATGAATAGTGCTGGTGTTTATTGTTTTAAGCGCAAAACGATCATATCATGGAAATGAAAAGCGCTGTACCGTTAACCTTGTTACAAATACAATAAGCTCAGATTTTTTTTCATTTTTGGGCAAATCTCGTTTTTCTATTCTTCCCCTGTTTACCATTACCAGATTTGTTGCGGCTTATTGAAGCAAAAATTATTCAGTTGAATATTGTTTTCCGCACGAAAATATTTACAATAATGAATTTGCGAGGAGAGAGAAAGGGAGAAAGAGAATAGAAAGAGAAAATCTGACCCTAATTAAGAGAAGATTCTGTGTTTTGTAAATGTTCTGAAAAATATTCTAATATTTCTTATAATTCTTAATGATGGCGAAATATTCAATGAATAGATTATACCTACAGTTATGGCCAAAAAGTCCTCAGCGGTGGCTACGCTCTTTCAGAACCATGCATTGCACCGAATTGAACAAGCATGTAAGGTTGTACATATGCCATGTGTCGATTTTCATTTTATACTCAGCGAGCTTGCTTCTGAAGCAGTGTTGGTTCGGTATCATACTATATAAACATATATAATACAATTGTTAGTTTTAATTCGAATCGATTGAATTGTCGAGGAAATGAACTACAAATGCCGAACCTTCTTGAATAAGGTCCTGCCTCGTTTAGGCGGATGAAATGCTTTAATTTATTTCTTTATTGAAAAATATCGTCAAAACTTTGATTTTCTTCAATTGATTTTGCCGTAATTAAGAAGCGAACGAAAGAAAAATTAAGGGAGACCAACAATTGGAGATATACGAATGCAAAACCTTAATTGAAAAAGACACACGGCTGTCATTTGATGAAGACCAATGGGAGAGTTTTTTTTCAGCAATAAATGTAATGAAATGAAACGTTATTATGCGAATAAATGTATTCGACGGTCTCTGCACAGAAAAAAAGTACACACACAAACCCGAATGTAAAAAGAAATCTGAAACAATTTGCTCGGAAAGCATGTACGCGATGTTGTGAGTCTTGATATGATCTTTGCAAGAATTGGAGAAATAACGATGTTAAAAATAATCTCTTTCATTTGTTTCATCATTGTTCGCGCCTGCACAAATCATTCACTCAATCATGTCGATGTTCGAATCTCATAAAACTCGAAGCTACACTTTCTTCTACACACGTTTTGTGTCTCTATGTTTTTGCTGGTTTTACACATGGCGATCATCTAGCGTGCAAAAGCAATGGAGCAAAAAAGAGAAGATGGCAAAAACACGACTTAAGGCATCTGAATCTTCTTTGTCTTTCGGCGAATGAGAAGAAAAAACAAACATAACAAACTGAGACCAACTGAATTCACTCTGAAGCTTAGATAAATCTTAGAGTTGATTCAAATTGCCCTATTCATTAAATTGTCTTTCTTCAAGAGCCATTTATTCATCCCGTACAAAAGCAACGTGTAGTTCTTTCAAAAATATAACACATAGTTGATTATGTTATATATTATTTTTACGGTTTCGACCTCATTTGTCAAGAAATTTGCGTTCCAAATATTTTGGTCGGAAAACTTACTTTCAAGTACCGAGAGGTTGGCATCTTATTATTTATATTCAAATAAGTTTCCATCGCAATGAAATGTTGGACGGTACGTTACGTATACGATTTATGCAGTGCTTTCGATGACAGTGTATACAAGATTTTTACGACAGTAAAAATATAATTGTTGTGTATGTTTCTGTTAGCCAGCTACGAGCATAGGAAATTGAGTAAACAATTACATATACATATGTGAGCAATAAAAAAAGAACAAAGAGAAATCCAAGATGGGAATAATAAGAGAAACAGTATTTTCGCTAATCTTTGATGTCTTGATGAACATCTCTCGACTATCGATTTCTTACCTGATGTAAGTCCATAAATATTGTCGTCGACGACTCGTCGTTAATGTATTACGAGTTTAACAAGAACAAAAAACATACGCATACACAAAACCGTTCATCGCGATTAAGACAGAAGAAGAAAAATATAGAATGTAGAAATATAAAATTGTTATATTTATATGCAGTTAGTCTGTTGCGTTTGTGTACAAGCATGAATAACTGTAGACATTTCGTAGCGAATATGTGGAACGTGTGTGAAAGAATCCAGTTTTCGCAATTGCAAAATAGCTGCCAATATAAACAAAAAAGAAAGAGAGTGAGCAATAGAGAGAAAAGAGACTGGTATAACATTCACGAGCCTACGTCACGCTGACACATTACGTTTGCATTCCACGAAATTTACAGAAAAAAAGTTACCTAAAGGTGAGAAGCGTAACAAAGCTCTTCGAGTTAGTTGTGTATTCAGTCATGAGAACCTGCTCAAGTACAATTACTATGCAGTGCATCCACAGTGGCTAGAGTAGGTGAAGGTTGTAGGTCAATGAACGCAATCAATTACCCGTCAATTGTATCTATGAATCTTTATTTGTATACCGTTTTAAATGATATTATTCAAATCTAATTGCGTTTTTTTTTCAATTGCAGATTTAACACTTCTTTTTCGCGGGGAACTAAGAAACCAAAATCAGAGTGAACATGTCGAAAAAACCAGCCGCTGGACCTGCGCTTCACAAAGTCATCATGGTTGGTAGTGGAGGTGTTGGAAAATCGGCCTTGACCCTTCAATTCATGTATGACGAATTCGTTGAGGACTACGAACCAACAAAGGCCGACAGCTATCGTAAAAAGGTAATAAACTCGCATTAGTAGCGGTGGAAAGTTACAATTTCGAATCAAGATATTTTCTCCAAACACACACACACACGCACAAATTGAGCACATTCTATTTATCCATTCCGTTACATCACTTTACTTCAGAAGACTTCAATCAAACGTTGTAACGGATGCTATTTATTGCTTTTGCTAAGTGAATCATGAATATAGATGATGCCTTATGATATACTGATGGAGTTTAATTCACAACCAATGAGCACCGTGTATATAGTAGTTTATATATTGAAAGATTGCATTTCAACCATATTGATTCGAAAACAGTGAACGCATAAATCACAAAGAACACATTTTAATTTACGATGCTTTTTGAAGTACGATTTTATTTATACATGAGGTATAATTTTCGATCGATAATCAATTATCAACAAATACAGGCTCGTTGTTTTACGCATGATTGATTTAAAACTTAATTTTGTTTCAAAATAAATCTAGTTGAAACCGTATGAATTTCTTCAAGACGAAACGTTCACTGGTTTGAAATCAAGCAAAAATTGAAATTCACAAAATTTCTCAAAATGTAACTTATTTCTTGCCAAATGGTTCACTGCTCACGACGAAGTATTTTTTTTTAAACATCTTTGTGACTACTTTTCATTTAAACCATAAGATAGTCCAAGTTAGTTATAGTTGGTTATTACCAAGGAAGGTATATATTTCAAAGAGCTGATTTGGATGAATTACTACCTCTAGAAGTTTTGCCCGACCGCAAACAGCATTATTTGTTTGTACGGGCAGAAACAAACAAAACTTATTTGAATCAAAGTTTTACAATTTAAATACAGTTATATGCTTATGTTTATGCTTGTGGCTCAATTTTTGTTCTAATCAATAGTATATTCTTTCCACTTGAATAGGTCGTTTTAGACGGTGAAGAGGTACAAATTGATATCCTCGATACAGCTGGACAAGAAGATTACGCTGCCATACGCGATAACTACTTTCGAAGCGGTGAAGGTTTCCTTTGCGTTTTCTCTATAACAGATGATGAAAGTTTTCAATCAACATTAGAGTTTCGGTGAGTAAAATTGGGTGGAGATCATAACAACCAGGATGCATGTTCTTTCCGCGGAACAGTCGAGGGCTTCCCTTATTTGAATATATGCCCGGGAAGGGAGTAGTTCAGTTAATGTTTGTTTCTTGACATTTTTAGGGAGCAAATTTTACGAGTGAAGAACGATGAAAGCATACCGTTTCTGTTAGTGGGCAACAAATGTGATCTAAATGACAAGCGAAAAGTACCTTTAGCTGAATGTCAGGAGCGGTCATCGTTATGGGGTGTTCCATATGTTGAAACCTCTGCGAAAACCAGAGAAAATGTCGACAAGGTATGTGATTCAACAACACATTACAGCTATTCAGATGTTGAGAAATGCACGCACTGCACAATAATTTCTCGCACGTATACCAATTACATTTTTAAAATGACTGTTTGCGTACAGTTTTAAAAAGCTTAAAACACTTTGATTTCCAACAAATTTGTTTGCCCCTTTATAATATTGTGAACATTAAAATGCTTTCGCTTTGTTATGTTATGTTATCTAAATTGTTTCCTGTATTGTTTCGCAATGCTGGTTTCTCCTCAGTTTCATTTGTCCAATAAGAATCTATATCGCTCTTGACTTGCGTAGGTCATTCTAAACTCAGTTTTGAAACCTTGCTTGGAATTAGATTACAACTTGTAGAAATATTCAGTTCCCATGCTATAATCCCATGCTATAATTAGAGCACATTTAATTAATATAACAGAATTTTTTCTTCAAACCAAATTGCTCAAATTAAATTGATGCATTGTCCAACAATATTATATCATTTAACTTGAATTTGTGTGATCATAGGTATTTTTCGATCTAATGCGTGATATTCGATCGCGTAAAACGGAGGACTCAAAAACAACAAACGGAAGAGCCAAAGATAAAAGCAAACGGCGGAGACTTAAATGCACGCTACTCTAATTCCATTTTGCATAGGTGCTTAAAAAGTTATTCATTAAAACACATAAACTAGTTTTCTTTTTCGCTTTCTGTTCTTTCTTTCTTTCTTTCTTTTCAACCAACCATCATGCTTTACTTTAATCAGTCTGTTATTCGTACCAGTTCTTTTGTTACTTGTTCCTAGTCATTAGAATTTGTGTTTTCATTGTTATGTTTTGCGTGATAAGAATGCACTTGATTTCATTTTTGTGACGTTATGATTTAAATTTGGTTTGTATTTTTTTCCGCTTGTTTTTCTTGTTTCAAAACCAACGAGTGATTTGGAAACTTAAGTTTAAATTTGGATTCTTTTTTCGTTTAAAAATTTTATTTTTCAAATTATTCCATTATTGTTTTTTCACCAAAAAAATACACCTAGGAACAACACTATTTTCTAAACAGTTCAATAAATCTCAAAAAATACATTTCTTAATCCATCTAAATTACTTCTGAATTTAAAGTGAAAATATATCAAAAAGTATCTATTCATTGATTGCAGTTTTTTTTCTCATTTCCTAGATATTTTATGATCTTATCAGGGATATTTCAACACGTAAGAATCGTTCGACCGACGTACAACCGACCACAAAATCCAAAAAAGCCTGCTGTCATCTACTTTAAATAAAGGAACGCGAGGAATATTTTTTCAACGTAAAACAACAACAGAAATTAACAAATTAAAATATGTATCGTCAACAATGTATTATGTTATTTTAAAAAAAAAACATGAAGATTATCGCTTGACAGCTAGTAGTCAGAAAACAATAGAAATGATTTCAGGTCAACTATATTGTTCGGATGTAACAAATAAAAATCGATGTTTTCATTTGAAACGAAAATCTATTGATAATTCCGATTTCTAATTTAAAAATGAAAGTATTATATAATTTGAACCAAAGTACGATTCCTTTTGTCTTACTTGAACAACAATATGTTTAAAATATATATCAAGTGGATATCCTTATAGCTCATTATTTCTAAAAACAAAATATTGCAATTTTTTGTAAGCAGTGAAATATTCGTACGAATTTTACATACAAAACAAGCGTTTTTTTGAACATCAAGAGAAAAATACAACTCAAAATTGATTCCAATTTCCGCACCTTGCACAATTCGAGTTTACAAACAAATCAAGTGTGGAAAACATGTTCCAAATGCAATATATAGTTGGAAATACGCAATCTTTATATCGGTTGACTTTGAAGTAGGGAATTTTAGATCCATTTCCATAGTAACAATTGGTCGGATCTTACATGAATAGATAGTGCTAAATGCATGTGAATGTTAACCCTCTAGTGCATACAATCGCCTTTAGACGGGCAACATTTGAACGTCTGTATAACGTAAATCATACGTCAGATTACATTGCTTCAAAAAACATTTCAATTTGTACTCTATGATTTTGTCTTTTGCACTATTAGTCAACATCAAGCGGTTGTCGTATTATGAACAAGAATGTGCGCAAAAACAAAAATGTGACAAAATAAATTATTCCCTTTCAAAATGAGATACATTTTTGACACTTTTAAACAATATGGATTTAAGTCTATCGAATTTCCTGACTAAACTATGAGGAATCCAGGATTAGGAATATTTTTTGATCATCTATGGCCAAAAATCAACCAAGTACTAATACTCCTGGAAAAAACCGCCCTGGGAAAAAATTAATGCCCTAGAGGGTTAAAATCTACCACAGTTTATTCTATGGCAGCTACAATCCACTGCAAACTCGAAAAAAAACTGAGTTCCTATCAAATTATCTATTTTCCAAATATACTACTTTCCTACATGATGCATAAAACGACATCTATTTCCGCGTCGTATTATTCAATTTTGATACTTATCATCACTATTTTATTGACATTTCTTTTTAAATATTTACTAACAATTCAGGTTTGCAATCACCGTTTTTACAACGCATATTAATAAATCTTTTTAATCAATTATACAATTTTTATGGCAAACTATATCGAGTCCAACCAAAAAACAAAACAACAACAGCACACACACACACACATTTAATACAGCACAGCTAGGTGACAGAACTTTTCTTACATACAAAATGAATGGGATATGTATAAAAAATTTAGTTTTTTTGACATATCTATCAAAATATCTGTAACGGAGACAGCAGCATTTTTATTGGTGTGCATCAACACAAATAGACGTATGATTGTTTATTGTTACAAAACTGAATTTCAGAAGTAACTAATAGAAAAGAAGAGTAATTTTAAGTCTTGAATATTGTAAACACATTTCTGTATATTAGTTGGATTGGATGCATGGAAAATAAAGAATGCGAAAAAGAAGCACTCGTTACCTGTTTCATTTGAATCCATAGCTTTAGTTTTACTCATAGTTTGCTCAAATGGCGCGAAATGGTTGACACACCGCCATGCCGATCTGTCACTTGCACAAAATGACATTTCAGTTGAACAATAGCCCTGCAAGCAGAACACCGCATAGTTTCGCACAAGAAAACCGGAAATACATATAATTGAAAGGTAAAATTTAATTATATTTTGAATGGAAACATTTTTCAACAAAATTCATTTGTAGTTATTCAGATATGGACGACGAACCAAATGCCACTCATTGTGGAAAATTTGGCTATGAAATATTCAATGGAAGCATCGTCATTCCCTACATTTTTCGCTTCAATGAAAAATACTGCGCAACCAAGGTTTTTTCGTGGCATTTCGAAATGCAGAATATCAACCTCAGTTCGCATCTCATCGATTTTGGCTATTTGAAAGGCTACGAAATGTACCGCGAAGAAGCATGTCTCATGAATGAAATAAACAAATTTCACAATGATTCAATGTACCCGTTCACATTCAATCGAAATGATACGCTTGTCAAACTGGAAGATGTTGGTAATATTTTCAAATATGTGGACGAGTGTGCACAAAAATTGAAGTCAGGTACACAGTACAAAATGGTGGGAGGCAGTGGTGTGGCGCGACTTTGGTTGCCGAAATCAGAACAATACATTGTTTTACCGTATGTACAGAAGAATGGCCAACGCTATGTACCCATTCACATTTTGTTCGCATCAAACACCGTATCACATACATTGAACGTCACCAAGTTGACAGGCATCGATGTGATGTATATGCGATTCTTACTTGACGTTCTGAAGATCAAAATAACAACCCTTAAGTTTGAAGTACCTTGCGTAAATCTAGATGGATTAGTGGCACATTTAACAGCCAATGAAGACGGCTACTATGATTATGATGAAAATTATTGGCCGTCGAAAGAAAACAACAACCCTAAAACCAATAACAACAATCAACCATTTTCCACCAGCACTAGCAATAAGAACAATTCGGCGGATCAGCCCAAGGTAAATTCAACAATCTTTGAAATCAGATTATTGCAAATTGACTTATTTTGAGTAGGTTCCACCCGGCAAACGGAAACTCAACAGTCCAAATATCGAAACAAAGAGATCAAAACAAAAGATATCTATGGATGAGAACGGAAAAGAGGAACTCATCAAAAAACAGAAGACCGATAAATCAAAGAAGGATGATGTCTACTATGAAGTTGATCATCTGGTCGATTATCGAAAAGATAGAAAAGGCAATGAAGAGGTACAGATTTCTTTGAATGATTGGTCATTTACATTGATTACAGTATAGCACGGCCAATTGAAAATATTTGAATCATGTGGAAAAACCATATTTTTCCACAGGTACGGGTTCGATGGAAAGGATATTCAACTGCTGATGATACTTGGGAGCCAGTATCGTGTTTGAACGCCAATCTCAAAGATGATGTGACAGAATTACGAAAAATGTGGGCAAACAAAACTAAAGCAAAAAAGAAATAACTCGTTTTACACAAACGATCAAACAATGATGACCATCTAGTGATGCTTGCATTATATCGAACATGAACAAGAACAATAACCCAACAGACTCCTTTCCGAAAACAATAGATTTAATTATTTTGTTTATTTATAAAAATCGAATCAAATCGAATCAAATCGAATCAAAATATACAAAAAATATGTTGAACAATTTAAATTTCAAAACGATCTGAGAAATGGAGTACTGTCAAAGTAGTGTATTTTATTCATGGCATTGAAATCAAATTCTTTTAAAAGAAAGAACTAGTTTTTACAACAAAATGAATAAGTTCTTATGATGAGGCCAAATGTCTATTTGGTTTTCGAAAAAAAATATTTGAACACCGTGGAACAGTTTGATTGTTGGCAATTACAATGCAATATTTATTTCAAAATCTTTTAAAAATAAGCTAAAAACTTAAAAATATCAAATTATAAAATTATTTTAAATAAATTATGCGAAGAACTTGAACGAACAAAATAAAAACTATTGAAATGTTAGCAACTTCTTGTCGATTCTTGTAAATAAATATTTCAAAAGTATCCTTTGTAAAACTTGTAAGCCAAATAGCAGTCGATGCCGTGGACTATCCCCAATATGAAACCGATGTACTAAAAATTGAAAAAGAGCACGAAATTAGAATTGATATCCGATTAAAATCATTATTGAATTTGAAACACTAACATAGACAGCTGTCATGGCTGGATATGCCATGTAGGCACGTTGCAATTCGAATTTCGGCCAAAGCCAGATATTGACCGTGAATCCCATGTACACCGAAGCACTGAAGTACATGAAGCAAGCGCAGAGATTGTAAAAGATTTCCTGTGGAGTAGGAAAAGATTTCGTTTGTGTTGAACTGCTAAATTTGAATAAATAAAGTCTTTGAAATTTAGATAGATGTATGCCAAAGATTAGTTCTCATCCAGTTGAGATGCATAGTTGACAATTTTTTTAATAATTTCCATGGAAATGTGTGCTGAATGAATGAAAAATAAAAATAAATTTTGAGTAAATCTGTTGATGGAACTTACGAAAAGTGATTGTCGAACGAGATTGAATGTGCGTGTGGAAAGAATATAGCAGAAAAGTAGCAATGATGAAGTCATCAGACATGATGAAACTGTTGTCAAGCACGTATTGAAGGCTTGACCAATATCGGCAGCAGATTCCATTCCAAATCGTACCAGCAACGTTTGACAACACGAGCTCAAAATCACCTCGCTTACTTTCATTAGTCCATGGTTGGTCGAGAGAAAATTCAAATTGACACAAGTGAACATGCGACAACAGCAAATTTTGATTCCACCATCCTGTTCAATATTTGCCCGAGCCATTCGAGCGGAACGATGCGCTGCTGTCGGCATTCCAATGATGGTTGGCATTGTGCTGATCTTCACTTTTAGTCACCAAATTTTTCCTTTCCACAAAACACTTTTCTTGACGACTGTTGCGGGCGAATGATGAAATTACTCTGTGAAATTATGTAAGTATATATTATGTACAGTTATGTGGCGAATATTTTTCAATGTTGTATTCTACTTTCAATTTTTTTCCAATTGAACGCTATTATTTACTTTATTTCCAAAAATTGACAGAAAATTTCAACACAGCTTCAATGCAAACAAAAGCAAAACCAATTGATACATCGATATTTTCTGTTGATGCACGCACAATGCCGGTTTGTGTGTTGTTTGTGACTTGCAACAACGCAATAGAGTGACTCAACGCACACTCAGATACCAATGCATTGACGCTCCGAGATAAATCCGAGACATGCATACACGCGATGGTCGTAAGATGTTTTCTGTTGACTGACTAACGGCAAACGACAACGCATCACTATGTGTCCTTGTTGCGCTGCACCACCGCTTGAAATTACCAATTTACAGTTATTCTTCGAAGGTTTTCATCGTGCCTCGACGACTATTCTTAATTATTTTTAGACACTTTTTTGTTTCACTATGCATGATCGCTAACTACCATCAGTGTTCATTGACATCTCTATCCCTTGTCTGTGTTGTTACTTTTTTGTCTGTTTGTATGGGTGACGTTCAAATCAGACGCATTCGTACTAACGTTCGAAGCGGATGTTTATATTTTGTGATGAAATCGTCGTCACATTGAACTACACAATCTTTAATTTTTTTTCTTATTTGCTCTGATGCTCATGCAGGCATCAAATAAGGCGATTTTATTTATACTCACAACGCACTCACGTTTCAACAGAATTTACTCCAAATGCCGTTCAAGTCAAGTCCATATGTTTTCTATTTATAGTTCGAGGGAGGTCCAGGAATTTGTACGTACAAAAAGTAACCAAGTATTCAACACGCCAAGAGTAACAAACATATATGATCAAATCGTTGAATTATTATTTACTATCGCACTTTCAAGTATCGACAAAATGTGTGATATGTGATGAATTATGTGTTCAATTTGCAATATTCTCCGTGTATAATATATTCATGAGAAGATAAATGAATGAAGAACACCAAACAAAGAATCCAATTGAAATCACCCACAAATCTTGAGAATTGACTTTTGTCAATTGACCAATTGTTCATTTCTTTTCACATGTGAAAAGAACGCGTTCAAACGGAGCATTGTATTTGTTTGTTTGTTCAGATATTTGCTACCTACGATTACCAGTCAGAACGGTATCAGGTCATTATTCAATAAAATGCAGAACACAGCCGATTTTTTTATTACTAATTTATTTATTAAATGTTGGAAAAGGCACTCAAGTGTTTCATGTCGCTATACGAGATCTCGTTGCCTTAATTCTAATATTACATTTATCCTTGAATTTTTGATAATATGCCCATGAACTTGTTTGTTCTAACGAATGTGCAAACGATCTGTTTTGAAGTGAGATTCAATTTGCCACTAATTACCAAGTAAAATACAATTCAAGAAAATGCAATAGTTCAATCATAATCCTACAACGGAAATATGACAAAAACGTAAGTAGATTGAAATTCGTTTTGGTTTTCTTCTTCGTGTTGCTTCTTCATTCAGATGAGCCACGGCGGTGGAGCTGGTTTTGCATCAAAATCAGCTTTCGCGAAGAACATGTCCAATCGATTTTTTCGCATTTTTCCTCTTGCTGCACCGCATAACGGGTCATCATCTTCGTTGGTACTTTCATCAGCCAGAAGCAGTGTAGTTTTTCGGTATGATAGCAAATCTGTTGGGACCAATTTGAAAACCTTGCCTTCAGATTCATTAGATCCACTTGTATTTGGCTCATTACTGTTATTGTTGTTAACATTGGTTTTCGAAGAAGATGGATTCTCAACGTCCATGCTAGCTTCATTTGTGGTTTCTGCGTTGTTTCTGGAACTTTCAGTGTGA